GTTTGCTTCAGCAGCAGTCACCTTGCCCTGGGAAGAGCTGCAGTTTGGCAGCACTCAGCCCAGCTGGGTATAATTTGCCATCAGCAGCACATCAGCCTGTGGGCAGCACAGTTTCACCCACTGAGCTCAAACAGCCAAAGGATGCTCTTGAGGATGCCTGAGCCAGGGGTACACAGCATCACCCAGCCTGACAAACAGTGTTGTTTATCTGAGGGTCTGAAGTAATTAAATCCTGCATGTGGCATGGGATGTAATGCTGAATTACAGCTGTTGCTGCTCTTCCCTGGCACAGCATAGAGGTGAGTGATTTGCTGCACCTGAGGCAGTTGATGGCAATGCTCAGATCTGGGACACATGTGAGCCCCCAGATGGGACCTGAGCCCTGGCTGGAGGTGGGCACTGAAGTACCTGGCCCTGGCTGCTCTAAGAGACTCTTCACAGGCTCCCATCCTGCATAAGAGGAAAGCTCACCTTTTTATAAACATTCATAGAATCATTAAGGTTGGAAAAACCTCTGAGATCGCAAGGTTCAATTGTCAACCCATCCCTACCATGCTCACTACCCATGTCCCTCAGTGCTACATCTCCACGGTTCTTGAACACCTCCGTGGATGGTGACCCCATCACTGCCAGGGCAGCTGTGCCACTGCATCACCACTCTTTTGGAGAAGAAATTTTTCCTAATATGTGTTGGGGACAGGATAAGAGAGTGCCAGGGTTTGCATGGCACCTGTAGGAACAGCTCCAACGTATCACATGGGCCTGGATTCACCCCTGGGAAGCACTCTCTCCAGGAATAGGTGGGGTTTTCATTCTTCAGAGTGTTAATGTTGCTAGAAAACTTTCCTGAATAGCTTTGCGTGTTAACTCATAAAGAAAACAGCATATATTCAACAAGACTCCATCTGATTCAATAGAAATAGACCTTTATTAATAACATGCACGTTATATGTATATTTAAAATACATATACATTTTTCTACTATTCACTTTAGAAAACAGTTTCATAAAAACCTTTCCATCAGGTCCCGAGTAGTTTTAAACATTAAAAAGCCATTTACCAACGTAGAATCAGTAGGCATGGTCCCAATGAGTTGGTGTACAGTCACCGTGTAACGCAGTGCAGGCTCATGCATTCCAGCAGAAGCGAGCGTTCCCCTTTCTGCAGAGTTACGCACGTCAAACATCGGATGAAATACTTGACGGCACCTGCAGCAGTCATTATGTGCCGTTGTGATTCCCTGCTGAGAGCACAATATGGCATTTAAAAGCTGGAGACGGCTTTTGTACAACGGTTGGAGCTCACATGAAGGCATGGCGGGTAGTGCGGAACCCGGAGATGGCAGAAACTGGAAAAAGAGAAATTCAGGGACCGACCGCGGGGAGGAAAGCAGTGTAGAAAAGAGGAGAAGAGGGAATTGCCAAAGTGTGAGGTGGGGCTGGTGCTTCCCAAGGCCCCGTGGGCACAGAGCCGGAGCTGCATGGCGTGCATGGGGCCGTCAGCTAAAGGTGGGCTGCAGGTTTGCATGTACAAAGGCTGTATGAGGATGGGACTTTAAGGCACCATAGTCCATATACTCAACACATTCATCGAAAACAATAGTTCCATTTACAGTGCAATATCAATGTATGCCAGAAGCCAAGCGGCAGCTCTGCCATCACTTCTCTCTGGTAATTCAGCAATGGAGGAGCACAATAGGGCAGGGCAGCCCCTATGCTGCACATGCTGAGCATGGAGCACATAAGGAGCCTCACACAGATGTGCACAGAGAGGCACGGGCAATAACCAAGGTGTATGGTGGAGCAGAGCCCTACAGTTTGGAGATGTCAGGTTGCAAAGCTGATTCCATGCAGAGCCTCCTGTTGCTGCTCAGTGCCACCAGCTCAAGTCCAGCACTCACAGCCAGGTGAGAGAGTGGCACAGAGGGAACTAAACTCTTTTAAACACTAATTACAGTCACATGTGCTGTTTCAAAATGACCACACATTGTCCTAAGCCAGCCCTATTGGGAATGACCAGCTACCTGTGAGCAGGTCTGTCCGTGCCACCCAGCATCGCCTCGTGAATGCTATCTCCAAGGCAACAGAGTCAGAGGGAAGGAAGGACCTTCCTTGCATCCAGTGCAAACATAGCCAATGTGTGGGAGTTCCTACCGCAGTCATAATGGAACATATATATATATATATATATATGTATATATATATACTTATCGCCGAAATCTGACCACCTACACATTCACACATCAGAGCCAGAAGAGCTGAATTGCAGCTATAAGCTCTAAAACAGAACAATCACTGCATGAAGCTGTATTAAAGGGCTGGTGCCCAGGAGCTTGGAAAATAAGCGATAGAAGCAGTACGTCGTTCAAAAAGTGTCAAACATTTCTGGAGCAACTTGTGATGCTACGGCACCTCTGTACTGCTCTATCACTGCAGATTATGGCTATCAAGCGCTAAGGTTGAATGGTTGAATGTTGATCCACTTTTCACTGGCAAAAATCACTGTGCGAAGCATAAGGCAGCAAAAACTTGAGCAGATTCAATGTTTAGAGTTGAGGACCTGTAACTCAATTTCAAATCAAAGCCAGCCGTAACATTCTAGAAAGAAAGAGTTGTAACATCTCCTGGAGCAAGTAGAAATTTAGGAAATAATTAAATCAGACAACATTTTTTTGTTCAAGAGGAGAAAACGTGAGTAAAGTGTTACCCTTTTTCTCAGGTACTCAAGTGGTTTTGTTGTCTGATCCCTGTTTTTGCCTGTGCTACCTGTGAGCACACAGTGCTGCCAGAGGAGCTCACAGTAGGCAGAAACGTGCCTGCCCTGTTCAGCAGAGGAGAGAATCATCATTTGCGAGATGGTGGGATAATGCTTTTTTTCAGGTGAAATTAAAGGCCTTAATCCTAGCGAGCATTCATGCCAATGCAGCAATTTTTATTTGATATAAGAATTTTCATTGTTCAGGCCAGGACCATCCTCTGAGTGTAACAGAGCAGACTGGAGGGGAAAAGCGCCCTAGCATTCAGTGTAGCTTCTGCATTGCTGTGAGTTCAGGCAAAAACAGACAAAAAGAGCAAAAAAAGTGCATCAGCCAGGTCAGTTCAGAGCAGAATCACACTGACTGAACAGCCACACCACACACTGTGCCCCCAATGCCCTCCTGGGCACAGGCACTGCCTCTCGCTCTGCCTGCAGTGCCCCATCCCCAGCCTTCCCACAATACTTGTGCTGCTCACACTCCCCACTTTGCAGGTTGTCCTTCTCTTGAAATAAACTGTTGTTTTGCACTAATAAGCTGCGCCTTGCTGCTGCTTTCTGTCCCCTAAAGCTGTACTGCTGGGGCAGGAGTTCACGTTGCTCCTTGCATCTCCTGCTCCTCTCCTTTGTCCCGTGCTGTGAACGCGTGCCCAGCAGCTGCAGTGTCACAGCTGAGATGCTCTGAGGTTCCTCCTCTAACTCTGCACTGAGCACATCCTGGTCAAGCAATGGTATTTTTTGTACTTCAGAAATAGCATCAGCCACATCTGCATGAGAAAAGACTTCCAAAACTAAAAACAAATTCTGTTCTTCAACATGAACCTGCCTCCAAGTGGGAGTGCTCTTCTATTTGCTTTGCTCTAAAGATGTAGGGCTGACAGCCTGCCAGGCAAGGCCAGACTCCCCACAATAACTCTGCAGCTCTGTAGGACAGGTTTGGACCATTGGTGTTTTAGTTCAGCAGTCCTAGGTATCAGTCACTGATACATCACAGCTCGTTCATCACATTTCCCCAGGTTATAGTGCAATCATTGCTTTTGCTGGAGCATCATCTCTTCCCTTATATTACTCTTTGGTATTTTCATGATATAGCTTTGGCAGCTATAAAACCTCCCACTCGTAGTCACCAGTTTGCTGAACAGCTCTCATGTCAATCCACAGCTCATGAGATACATATTTACATAACCTAAGGTTAATACCCAGGTCGAAATCAGACATTTTGGTTAGATGGGGCCCTGTGCAATCTGATCTAGTACTTAACCTAGCAGCTGGCAGTCCTGCCCAAGATGGGGGTTGAAACTTGATGATCGTTGAGGTCTCTTCCAACCCAAGCCATTCTATGGCTCTATGATTTCACTTCACCTGAAACACCATTACCATCACTGAGTAGCTTCATCAGGAGTACCTCTGAAATTCTACTAGCATCTGTCACATACGTTAATTCTCTATCCAGAGAAGTTACCACTGTTTTTCTGCCTTTCCATGTCAAAATCACTGTTTACCTACTGATTCCTAGCACCAGTGTGAACCCCTTGCTAAACAGCAGGTCAGCATGCAGGAAGGTATGGGGGAAACAGCCCGAATGAAGCTAAGGGAACACGGCCACGGGACAAAGAAACAATCTGTCCTGTGAGCCGTTCTGCTCTGTACTAGAATAGCAAAGTAGATACCAGCTGAGAGATAATGTAAGTAAAAAGGTGAATGCAATTATTCTAAAAATAATAGTAACAACCTTGCAAATCTCATAGTAGTTTAAGTAGCAAGCGAGTTAGTCTCTGACCGTCCTAAGCAAAGGCCATTCCTTCGGCACTGACTCCTTCACGTATAAAGCATTTCCTCAGAGAAACTTCCTACCTGTCCCTTTGCAGTCAGTAACTGGCACCTGGCCCCTCGCTGCCGGGCTGCTCTGCTACCTGAGGCTCCCCTTCTGCTAAGGGTGGCACAACTGAACGGCAAAGTGATTCCCAGCGTCTGTATCTACACACAGAGAACTGCAACCGTGGCTTTGCTTCCACACAACACATTGCACGTGGGTGAGGCCCTCAGCATCACACCTGCCCTGTGTGTGCACGGTGCTTCGTGGCCAATTGGTTAATAGTGGGGCTGCGGAGCGGTGCCCGAAGCACCCAACTCACCCCAAGCTGTTGAGTCCAAGCTCCTCTCCCACCTCACCACGGGCATCTCTGCAATCAGTGCCTCATCCTAACGCCTCAGCAAGCAGTTCAAGCATTCAGAAACAAACATCGGTGGGTCTAACAGCTACTTTAATTCATTTTATAAATAAGCAATTGAGAATTCTGCTCCAGGTGGCTGCTTGTGTAGCCCATCCCATAAACGGCATTCTCTGCAGAATAAGGCACAATGCGATACGAATGCAGCTCTTCATAATAGAGTGACTGAGAACAGCACTCGTGTACCATAAACTTCAGCCGTTTTCGTGAGTCAGAGTAAGCAGTCCTATAGCACGGAGCCTCCTTAAAGTATTCATAGCTCTCCCTCTCTGTCTCTAGGTGAATCTTCCTCAACAGATTGTTAATTAACACCGACCTACGGAGATAGGCTTCGGGATCTTCCAGGAATCGGAGTTTCTGGAGAGAAAGTTTTAGAATACAAGTCCGGTCCTCAGGGAGTATCAGGTGCTGGGGAGCAAAGAGCATCACACAGGTCTTTAATAGGGAGGGATGGAACCGAGGGAGGATGGGAGCTGGAAGGAGAAAGCTACTCACTTTTGGACAATACTCATGGTAATCTTGATGTAGATGTTCTTCTTCTGCATATTTTCTCTTAAAGTAGGCTACTTTCGACGTCGTTAATGGATTTGGTAGGCCCCAGTCAGATCAGCTCTGTGCAAGATTAAGAGAGGATTTAAGTTAGATTTAGGTTAGACGTTAGGAGGAAGCTCCTTACTGTGTGTGCCCCATCCCTGCAGGTGCCCGAGACCACGGAGGGGCCCTGGGCAGGCTGAGCTTTTGGCTGGCAACCAGCCCTCAGCAAGGGTTGGAGCTGGGTGAGCTGTAAAGTCCCTTCCAACCCAAAGCACGCTCCGGAGCAGTGACCACCCGCACTGGAGCTGCTGCCATCAGTACCCCGGCTGGTGACAGCCCTCCGGACCAAGGTAGGCGATGACCCGAGCCCAGCTCCGAATGCTGCTGGCCAGCTTTGCGGCGAGCTCTCGCTAGGTGGTAGTGTGGTCCCATGGCAGCCCGGCTCGGTGTGCTGCTGCTGCTGCTCCCTTGGTAGCTCTGAGCGCACGCAGCCTGCTTGGTGCTCAGCCCTTCAGCGAAGGGAAGGGAGCGCAGAGCCCTGGGGGGTCCCACAGGCTGCTCCCAGCTGCTTCTCTCTAGCAGAGGTGTCACAGTGCTACATCACTGCAGTGGGACCATAACTTTCCTTCTGGTGAACGCCAGACAGAACACAGGCTGGGTTTTAGTTTCCAGATCATTAGACAGGAGGCACGTGTGTTTGAGGTTGACATCATCATGGACAAAACTCTCTCTGTTAAAAGCAGTTTCTGAGGTTTGCTTTCAAATGTGCTATTTCTCAGAAGGTTATTAATGGTGAATTTTAAAGTTCACAGAAAGTCACCACCTGGAGCCACTCGCAGTCAGGTCTTGGAGCTCACGCTTCCTTCTCCAAACTGAGATGCCCTTACAGAGGTGTGTAAAACCTTGGCTATTGGGGTAATAAAGGTCTTGGTTCTGGAGTGCAGAATCTCTCCTATGGTAACAGAACCAAATACACCACACATCTAAGAGAGAGCTCATGGTGCTGGATGTACCCCACCATGCTCTCTGAGCTGCAGGTGGGAGTGAAAGGACATTAACACCGATCCTGCAGGGGCTGGGGGCATCTCTCCATCCCTGGTAGGAGGGAGTGATGTACTCTGCCTTCCTCCTTCCACACCAAAACCCACAGGAGGTGCCCAAAGAGGACAAATCCTCATAGAAGACTCTTCCTGCATTTTCTTGCTGAACTTCAGGTTAGTGAGGATGGAGGTTTGCCATAAAGGACATTACAAAACTGGGTGGAAATACCTTGGCTGGTGGATTAATGGCCTGCCTGGAGCCAAGTGTCCCAGCCCTGCTTTGGGACCCAGCACTGCTCTCACAAAAGAGGACTCAGAAAGGGACTGTCCCTCCTTGTAATAGGACAATGCCATGTTTCTGTCAACCTGGATGGACCACTGCACACAGCTCTCGGGAGCCAGGGCACAGCTATGGCCTTCACAGCACTGCCAGCCCCGGGCAGCTGCAAAAAGTGATCCAAATGCACAGCCTTCACTGTTGGCAGGTTTTATCCTACATTTGAATTACACTGGAGACAGGGCACCCTGGGCATTTAACTACTCTGACACTGCTTCTCCTAGGTTAAAACCTCCCTGCTGTGTTGTCTGAACATAGGCAGAAAAGCATTTATGCTCTCGAAGCTGTAGGTTAAGAGAACATCACAAGGACTCGGGGGAGACCTTGTAGCTCTCTACAATGACCTGAAAGGAGATTGTGGTGAGGTGGGGGTTGGCCTCTTCTGCGTAACTAGCAATAGAGTGAGAACCAGCCTCAAGCTGTGCTGGTGTGGGGCGGGTTCAAGTTGGATATTAGAAAAAATTTCTTCTCTGAAAGAGTGGCCAAGCACTAGAACAGGCTGTTAAGGGAGATGATAGAGTCAGCGTCCCTGGAGGTGTTCAAGAAATGTGTCAATGTGGTACTAAGGAACGTGGTTTAGTGGGGAAGTACTGGTGGTAGGTGCTTGGCTGGACTGGGTGATCTTGGAAGTCTTTTCCAACCGTAATGGTGATTACAGTTTTCCTCAGTTTTTCTCTGAAGTGGACAAAGGTATGAAAGATGAAGTGTTGTTCTCATGGCCCCATCAGGGAAGGGAATAAAGCCAAACCCAGGGGCAGGCTGAGCCAACAAGCTTCTAAGTTATAAAACTCACTCTCTGGTGATTTCCACTGAAAAGGCTGAAAGCACAGCCTGTGTACTCTGCATGCAGAACATGAGCAGAGGCAGGACAGAAACCCAGGGCATGCAGAGCATCACCTCTCAACCCTCCATCTCTTCTCCATCTCCCTTGAGATGGAGGATGACAACTGAAACATCACTGGCCCTAAGGACAAACGGTCCTGAAGAAGGACCAGCAAACTGCTTGGAATAGCCATGCCAGATGGACAGGAGGAGGCTGTGTCTGAGAACATGGAGATGTGGCAGAGGGACACGGCCAGTGGGCATAGTGCAGATGGATTGAGGTTGGACTTGGGGAGGTCTTTTTCAACTTCAGTTTTTCTGTGATTTCATGAAGCTTCCTACAGCTGGCCCCATCCCACTGCCCTGTTCCCAACACTGGGCTGCAAGGCTGATTTTAAAAGGACACATTCCCACCTGCAAACACAAAGCTCCTCAAAGACCAAGAGCAGAGCAGACGCAAGCTGCTCGGTGCTGGCTGTCAGCAAAGCCCAGCAGTTCCAGCCCTGCAGGACTCCTGAAAGTCAGTGCGGACTGCCTGGCCGGGCTGCAGGCACGCACGGCGGTAGTAATGCGGCAGTGAATCAGACCCTTCGTGTTTTGTTTAAATATAAACATATTGAATCAGTGCTTTTTTGTGAGGAAGGCTATTCTCGCCAGCCAAGTGTTTTGACAGCTACAGCAAGGTGGTATGAGTCACTGCCTCCGCCTCAGCCAGCCTTGGAGACAGATACATCTTAATCACATTACATTTTTTCAGTGCCGCACCACAATCCCAGGCACGGGGCCAACCATCCCCCCAGGGATGGAGTGGTGGATCCTGAGTGCGAAGTTTGCCCTCCCTGCCCAGCCGAGCCCGGCTGCTCGGAATGCACAGAGCAGCGCAGCGGCTCCCGCTGCCATTAGTGCTAATGGAAGTTGGGAGCATAAATCCCATGCGTGGCACTGAGGGGATGGAGGCTGCTGCCTCCCGGATCTCCCCAGAGCAGCTTCATGAGGTCTTTAACTGTACTTTCAAATACGTGCCCGTTCCTACTCCTTGCCCTGGGAATAATTACAGCGCTGCTTGGACCCACAGAGTTATTAGGCATGTTTGGGCAGAGGGTTATCTTATCTAAATTGAAATGGAAATTGATTTATAGCATGGCAACTTCATGATCAAGCTGCAAATGGCACAAGATAGTCTTCACCTGCCCCAGGGTCCCCCATCACACAGAGATAGAGCCTCCGTGCAGCATGAATTAGTGCTGCTGGTCCCAGGAGGGCTGCAGGTCATCTCACAGAGGAGGTTTAGCAAATGACTGAGCAGCTGAGAGAAAGGAAAGATTGTGCTTTTCCACTTCAGGCAAATGGAAAGGGGACTGCCAGCCCTGGGTATGCAGGCTGTACAGAGAGCAGTTCTGGCTGCCTCTATTTTTCCCACCTTTCCTGAGGAAGAGAACCCATCCCTGCAGCGTGGTGCTGCAGTGCTGGGGCTTGAGCAGCTGCTGCTCTCAGTGCATCACTGCAGACGGCTGCAGGGGAAACTCAGGGGCTCACTGGGTGAGCCTGAGCCAACAGCACCGCACACCTGAAATGTGCTGGTGCCCCATGGGGCTTCCTATCACAGCATGAGGGGATGGAAGTGCAAGAGAGCTGGCTGAGATGGAGAGCATCTCTGAGCATCTCCTGCTTGCACAAATAGAAAACCCAATGCTTCTGAGCATGCAGAGATGGGTGTTTATTATCAGCAGGAGATGTGACTTTGACATGGCTGGAGATACTGCCTTGTCCTTGCTGCTGCCGTCAAGCTGCAGTGATGAATTCCCCTGCGATGAACCTGTGATGAACCTCAGCCACGCTGCAATTACAAAGTGCTCAGCTGAAACCCTGCTCTGATTTCATGTTAGACTGCCGCATTTCTCAGGACAAGCAGCCTCAGGTCCCGCCGAGGCATTCCCAGCTCCAAAACATAGGCAGAGAAAATGTGAATGGGGAACACTGCCAGATCATGGGTTTCATATGGAATGACAATTGCAGAGCATAGGGATGGATCTCCCACTCCCCACCCGGGCACAGAAATCCCCCTTGATTGATTACCTGAGGGAAGGTAGCAGCCTTCCTACTGGCTGGAGCTGTGGCTTTGCACTTTAAAACTGCCTTCTTTGGGGGCTTCTAGTTGCTTTACAGATCTCCCTAGTTCATCAGGCACAGGCATCAGGATAGCTCTCATGAATGTATGAAAACAGAGACATAATGATGGGATGATTGCTCCGCTCCATTCCCTGCAGCCCCACTGCCTCCATCCCTCTGACCAAGAAAATAGGTACAGCTCAGCCAAATGCAGCAAAAAAATAGAATAACACCCTACTTCCATCTCAGTCCCCCTTTAGCAGTCATTTCCCTCGCTCCAAAGCCCAGTCAGCAGTAGTTGGCAAACGTGGCAGTTACCTGAGGATGTGGAGTCAGTCTGCAAAGGGTCTCTCTGGGATGACGCCAGCAGTCCCGGTGAGATCTCCTCGCACGGGCTCAGCAAGCATTGCTGGCAGCACGGCCCCGCAGAACGTCACCTGTGGGGGGACCAAAGGGGGACATGGCTCAGGTGGCAGCAGTGGGATGAGCACAAGAGAAAACAGGAAAAACAGAGTCCTGGTGTCACATCCAACTCATAGAATCGTTAAGGTTGGAGAGCCCACTAAGACTGTCTATTCCAAACTCCCAGATTTTGTCCTCGCTTCCCGGACAGCCTTTCAGACATAAACCAGAACATGAGGAAAAACCATGTCAGCCTCTCAGTGGTACAGCTGTAATGCTCCCAGAGCAAATGCTGCACACACAGCTCCTCGGAATACCCGGAAGTTTGCTGAGCCAAAACATGACTGCAGCCTGAGCACAACCTCATGAAACCGTGTACTGTTTTCCCCATCAGCTCTTGTCAGCCTCACAGGAAAGCTGAAGGAATACAACTGAAACCACAGCATCATTTGGAGCAGCAGCATCCATTTCCCACCACGCAGCCCCCCTAACCGCCCCGCACCGCCTGCAAAGTAACACAGCTCTGGGGAAAGTCAGATTACGGGTTCTGTGTCACAGGATTACTGCACTGTGCGTGTTTCTATGTTTGCCTTCTCAAGGGTCCCCAGGGCGCCGTGCAGAGAAACATCAACAGATCCATGTGTGCAGACCCAGCTCTGCACTTCTATGTGCAGAGATGCTCATACTGCCTATGTCAACATGTGAAGAAAAAGCAGATCCAAACACTGAAAGATAGAGGAAAACAGAGCTTGTGTGCGTGTGTGTGTGTGTGTGTGTGTGTGTCTCGCAGCTAGAACACGTCTATGTTTAGGCGGCTGTCTCATCCCCGAGGATGGCACATAGCAAACAGGCAACAAAAAGTAGCTCTGCTTACTTTGCAGAGTTTGCCCATAGGAAGACAGCAGACAGAGCAGCACCTCGGTGCACAACCCGTAGCACTGCAGGACCAACGCTGCTCCCTGCTCGGCTCCGTGCCCTCTTCCACAGCGCTGCAAAGCCGGCAGCTCACACATACAAAACTCCCTCTGTGCCAGCAGCCTCCCGCAGCCCGGCCAGTAAATGCCACGCTGTCCTCAAGCACCCTCAGCCCTGCGGCACTCACCCGGCGATCCCCGGCTGTGGAGGGAGAGCTGCTCCCGTCCTTCGTCCTTCCCCGGTCGCTCCGAGCTGCTGGCTGCCGCTGGAAGTGGTGGCACTGGTGGCAGCTTCTGCGGGTCCCTGCAGCCACTGAGGAGCGCATCACAGCCCGGCTGCAGCCCGCGGAGGTGGGCGCCCAGATGTGCCCGGCACGGATTGGTCCAGCGGGAGCAGATGTTGCCCGGTTGCTAGGAGCGTTGCTAGGCGCGTTGCTAGGAGACGGTGACGCTCTCCCCATCACTGGCGCGACTCGAGGCTGCGGGGAGGGAGGGGAGGTCCCGGCAGGAGAACCCACCACCTCCGTGGTGGGATGGGAAAGGCTGGAAGGAACGGGACAGGACAAGATAGGATGGGATGGGATGGACAGGGCGGGACAGGATGGGAGAATAGGGCGGAGAGGATGGGACAGGACAAGATAAGATGGAATGGGATGAGATGGAGTGGAACAGGATGGAATGGGTTGGTGTGGGATGAGGTGGGGTGGAATGGGATGGAATGAGTTAGGATGGGGTGGAATAGGATGGGATTGGACACGATGGCATGGGGAGGATGAGACACATGCACTGTGGCTTGCTAGGCTGCAGTGTGCCACAGCTCAGAGCTGGAAAGGGGATGAGTTGCTGCCACGGGCGTTGCAGCAGGGTGAAGAATGGGGAAGTGAAATGCAGGAGCTAGAAGGGGGCAGCTCTGCTTCGTCTCTTGCAGGTGGAGAGGACAGGTTATGTCCTATATGGACAAGTTGAAGGGGGTACAGAGTGGAGCAGCATCTGCAGGGGAAAGGATGCCAGGTAGCTGCCCCAGCATGGAGAGATCGAGACTGGGATAAACCAGTGCCCAGAAGGCAGGGAGTGGTCGGTCTGACTGGGGACTGCTGGTAATGCATACTCACAGTCTGCTCTCCCACCGGGTCACATTCATCTGCCCTCTCACCCCACGCCTACATCTGGGCACACTGACCATTCGCTGAGCATTTTCCATGCCCCATCAGAGTGCCCTGGCCGGGACACATATAGCCCTAGCCCAAAAGAGGCATTGTAGCACTCTGAAATCCCATGGGCAGAAATAGGAATTACTTCCTGAAGAGATACCACATGGAAAAACAGTCCAAACAGAAGCTCAATGAGGCATGGGGCAACTTAGGCATTTCTGCTTAGATAGGACATCAAGCTCACCGAGAGTCCAGCCAGCAAGGCCCAGGAAAAGTTTTAAAAGAGTAAGTAAAATCTTACATGCACAAGGCAGTGTGTGCATAGAAGGGCAATTCCTTTTCCAAAGACCCCAACTCTATATGCAGATAATGGCAAAGAGGAGATTACTATATACATATATATATATATACACACATACATATATATATTTGTAATAGATGTATATAAATGCATAGTTTCTCCCATCCAGCAGTATGTAGGGCTTTTCCCTGCAAGATGTGAGCCACCTCTGACATGGGAAAAGGTTTTTGGAAAGACACATCAGTATCAGTAGCTACACTGATATTAATGGAACACTGATTTTCATCAGCTCAGCAGCTTGGGCTTTGTGCAGCATCTTTCCCCAAGAGAAAACCTCCTCATACAGTACATACAGCTGCCATGGATGCCACCATTGTTCCAAGAGCTCATGCCACAGCAGCCCTGTCTGGGAGGCAGTTCCCTCCATCTCATTCTCCATCTCTACTATGGAAGGTTTGCCTGTACCAAATCAAGGCAAGATGTTATGGCAACACATCCATTCTGGCCACAAGCTGAAGATCCTGGACGACTCCCTGTCTCCGGTGATCTGGAAGATAGGGGTCCTGGGCACATGGTACCTGGGGGTGTTACTGCTGGTGGGATACATGCAGATCCCCTCCTTCTTGTTGCTCCAAGGTCTGCAGGAAGGTCCCTGTAAAGCAGAATGTAGCAGGCTTGGTCCTCCTCCCTCTTACATGATGGAAACTCTTCATTTGGCACTTACCTGATCAATACCTCATCCGAATTTTACAGCACTGGCTCTTGGTAGGCCCAAGTCCCAGTTTTCAAACATCAACACAGCAGCCTTAGACCAGTTACTCCTTGTCACAGAATCATAGAATGACAAAGGTAGAAAAGACCTCTGAGATTACCAAGCCCAACCCCAGCCCACCCTCACCATGCTCACTGCCCACATCCCTCAGTGCCTCATCTCCATCGTTCTTTAATGTTTCCCCACTCCCCAGGTAGCTGTGCCACTGCATCATGACTCTTTCTGAGGATTTTTTTCTAATACCCAACCAGAGCATCTGGCTGTACTGAGTCCTAAGCATGAACCACCATGCATGTGCCTGCACACATCTCCTCTGGTCTGTGCAGCTGAAGAAAAGACCCAGCCACGTACCTATTTCAAACTGCCTCAGAAGTTCCACTTCTTTTATTGAAAAGTCAAATGAACTCAAACTAATCTCAGATTTGAATTTTCTAGGACAATAGGAAGGCACTGGAATTTAATTGATTTTGATTACCTGCCTTATTATTATTCTGCCAGTAGCGATAGTTCAGGTTGGTGTAATTTTAAATTTACTGTGAGATGAATCTGACATTTTTCCGCTGTTGAACAGAGGACTTGGGCAATGCTTCAGCTCTTCACAAAGATGTCATAATTAATACAGTAATCTCTCTTCTGGATATGGAGATAGAAAAGGAAGACGCAGTGGCACGTACTCTGCACCTAGGAGCTGAATGAACGACGGATGCACTACTCCAGTATTCCTCAGATTTATTGTTTTTTTTTCTAACATTCAACACAATTTCTGCTGCAAAGACACCTCTTCCCCTCTCCTGTCAGCACACAAATGGGAATTATTAGCTGGCAATAACTTACAGCCAAAAGGTCATCTAATCTTCCCCCAGCTGGCTACAGGAAACATTTCCATCCCCTGAGAAGCCTGGAGCAAATTCTTCCAAAATCCAAGGCTTGCTGCTTTCTTCAAGGCAGTTTGAGCCTTTCTGTCTCATTCCTTTCCCACCAGGTGTGCATACAGCCCCCCAGCTAAAGACAGGGTTTGTTTGAAGCTGGGCTATCCAAATGCTTGGGATAAGTGTTCCAGCTTGGGAGCTCCAGTCTGGGAGCCCCGTTTCAAGCCATAGGAGCTGCAGCAGGAGAAGCAGACCTGAGCAGTCACAATGATGTGCTGGGAAGCGTACAGTGCAGCTAGCAGGCTCACTGCTCTGACACGGGGGCATCAAATCCCTGCATGTCAGCGTGTGCAGACCTGAATTCTGCTTTCTACAGCAGTAAGTGATCTGAACACTTGGTCATGCAAACTGAAGGAAGATGTGCAGCAGATGCTCCATCCCACCCCCAACTTATCCCACCCCACTCCATCACACTGCATCCCATTGCATTGCATTGCATCCCATCCCATCCCAGCTATTGTCATGGAGACATGAGCCATGCCCTCCCCTCCCATGGGAAGAGTTTTCCCATCTGCTAGGGATGCCTGGCTGGGAGCTGCTGCCCAGCTGAAGCACATGTTGTTTTCGTGCAATGGAAATTAAACAGAACAGTGAACTGGGACCAAAGTCTCTATTGACAGTGATATTATTTGAAAAGATAAGACTTTAAATGCATAGTGCACAAGATAAAACCTGGACAGGCAGGCAATAGAAGAGTAGGGTGTTGGGTTTTTTTGTTTTTTTCTTTTTTCTTTTAAGAATTTGGAAAGCAGGATTGCCTAGCATAGTTAGTGCTATGATAATAAACATGTATTTTAAAATGGTTGTGAGTAACTGGGAATATGAAAAAAAAAGAAAAACCCAGAACATTACCACTTACTTTAACTGCCAAGTAGAATTAGAAAAAAAATCAGTTCCTTCATCTCACAACAGTTACATCTCCTCAAGCCAATCATTAAAGACAAATGAATTAAATTAATGTGCTCTTCTGAATCGAAGCACCAAACATTCAAAAGATGTGTGCATAGGAACACCAGTGCTCCCAGGCAGCACAGACCTCCACGAGGGCTCTATTTCTCAACACAGCCAAAGGGACCCACTGACATAATGACTTCCAGGTGGGCAGAAGGCACTGTAAGGATGAGATGCACTTGAAATGCACATTTATACCTGGAACTCGGAGCAGTTGGAGATGTGAGGAGTTGTGTCCTGGACCAATTTCCATCCCTGGCCTGGCCCATTTAGCTGAGGTGTTCCCAGATACTGGCCCATCACTGCCCACCTTGGTGAGCAGCTCCCATGATGTCCTAGAACTGTTTTCCTCCTGAATCTTGCAGTGCATCATACCAGAAAACTTGTTGATATGTGAGAACGTGTTAAGGGTTTGTTTTGTTCTGTTGACCTGTTTACACTTAAAAAGATCGATAGTGAGACTTCAGCAGGCAGCTGGGAAGCAGCATAACAAACACAGCCTGTTTTCCTATCCATTTGTGCTCTTTCTTCCAACCAAGCACCCCAACACCAACACCCAAATTCCACTGCGTCCCCAGGAGGCAGCTCACCATCGACTGGCTGACCTCGAGCTGTCAAACTCGTTCCTTTCTGCCTCTCTGCGAGTGCTCCTCTGCCAGGTAACACAATTTCTAGAAGCATAATTGTCTTTGAGCCATCTACCCTTCTTTCAAATGTGATTGAAATTGGCCAAACTGCTCAAAAACGGCGATGGTGGGGGAGAGACTGGCGAGGAGACAGATGGCAGACAGCTCAGCTCCTCCAGCCTAAATTGGGCTGATTGAGACGTGGGAATGCTTTCACCCTCTCATGAAAAATTCTATCACTCTTTCGTTGAAATTCAAAACTTAGTTTTGCGACATTCAAAATGTGACTTTTCCACCTGGCCAAAGCTGGGATGACATGAGGGATATCTTGGCAAAACAGCACCTGGTGCTTTGCCAAGGAGCAAAGCAGCTCTGAGCAAGGAATTAAAATGCAGCTGGAGGGAGAACAGAATAATGGGAATAAAACAAAGCAAAACAAGGCAAAACAAAATGTGGAGTTTGCTGAGGAACTGAGGATGGGAGATGCCAGCATGAATTTTAAATGCATTTTAGGAAAAAAATGGACAGGGAACGCAGTGAGCCCAATCACCTCACCAATATCAGTCCTCAGCAAAACAATAAAACTCCGTTTGTCTCAAAGATTTGTACCAGTGAGGTCCTGGAGAGCCAGCCTTGCAGACCCCAGAAGGGGATTCAGAAATCCTTGCTCCCCACATTTGTACATCACTGCTCTCTCAGTGCTCTGAACACTCACAGCTCAAAATCACCACTTTTGAATTATTTTGGGGGGCTTTTGTCTTTTCCTGTCTCAACGTGGGCATTGGTTACAACGGCTACCTGATGGAAGTGCACTACACACCAGCACATCACGCTCAAAGGCACACACAAGCCAAGTGGCCATCGGACAGGAACATGACCCTCACTGCTGCTGGGATGTGCTTGGCCTTGCATTAGCCCAGTGTCAGCTCCCCAACCCAAGGGACCAAGCACACATTGATGACACAACACTCACTGATGAGACAGATAACCAAGAGCAGCCCTCGTGGGAGAGGCAACGTGCAGACAGAGGAGGATGGGGAGGGGGGGATAATTCCCATTCCCCCCAGTTATGCATTATGCACTGACCACCTGCATCTTTGTTCTGGACAAAACACGTCCACCTCTCCTAGATGCATATTCACTCGATTCTGCCACAATAAGAACACAAAGGAAGATACGCTGGTTTTGCATGTCTACATGAGCCATCTGCTTCTATTTTATTGATAAAAACCTGCTCACTGAAACAAAATAAGACTGTTTCTAAGGTGTGGATGGTTGTATGTGTGTGTGTGCGGGTAATTTCAGCCCAGAATTCTACAGAAGCTGGGTTTAATGCTTTTTTTCTTTTTTTTCCCAGTCAGATATCATCGAGACATTAGCATTCCTAACACAGCATATAATTAGCGAGAGGCAATATATTGTATGATCATGCACGTTAACACTTAAGTAGAATAAAAATGTTTCATTGTCAAGTACATGAAAAGCTAAGAATAAACCCGTATCACTCTTCCTGTTGAATATCCAAACATCTTTTCATCGTATTTTTCATCCTTTTTTAAAATCAGTTTTGCACTTCAGCTCCTCTCTTTCAACCACACATAGCAAGTGAAACGATGCTGATACCATTCCAGTTGCCAAACCAGTCAGTTCCAGTCCTTTATTAGCTACATAGAAGGTACAATTTTTCAGTGCAATCTTTGAACCTTTACAGAAGTGAAAAGGGAATATGAATTTGTTTTGTATCATCTTCAGAGTA